AAAGCTGAAATTTTAAGGGGGTGTTTTCTGACAGTTCTGACGGCCAGTCTTAATTTGTTTAGCTAGAAACATTTGCCGGAAAAACCGGTGCTGGTAGCGACAAAAACTGCGGGGAATTATGCAAAAAACACATCTTCGGGTCAGCAGCCGGTGCGTGGTCAATAATTGCTCATTGCAGCGCAATAGCGCTGCGCGTTAAAGTGTGTACTAAAATGTAAAGTGGTAACGCCCATGAAGGAGTCGATGAGAAAAATGGTTTCTTTTCTGTTCCAGTTTTTTGACAATAAAATTTTTTTGGCATTTTCTAGAATCTCAATTCGTTCTCAACTTGCTTTCCTAAAAATTCTGAGGGGAGGCAGTGTGAAAATGCCTGATGAGGGCAAGGGCTCGTAACTGATGCGAAAGTGTTTGCGATCGAGCATCGACCTTCCTTACAAAGTCATCTAAGTAAAGGGATTTCAATTTAAAATAATTTCAAAAATGAGCACTTTTAAAGATGTGAATGTGACCTTAGATTTGGCAGCTTCCATAACAACAGGTGGTTGCTTCTTTGCTCTTGGACCAGCACGTCGCTCATCTTTCTCAGCCGTTGTTTTCTTTGCTGTAGACGGGGTCTGCTGCATCGGTATGCTTGTCTCTGGCTCCGGAGTAGGCTTTTTTGCTTCATGTTTCGATTCATCTTTTTGGCGTAACTCTTTTCTGTCAACCTGATCCGCTTGCACAGTCGCTACTGTCGGTTCTTCCGCAGCCACATTTCGCATCTCATCAGTTTTCGACACCTCCATTTGATCAATCACTGAGCTATCTTCTGACTTTTTTCGCAGCTCTTTTGCTTTCATACTTAGCATTTCATCTTTTTTGTCACTGACTACGTCTTCGTCATGTCTACCAGTTGCTGCTGCCGTCGGAATGATACCACCGGTTTCAGCTTCGCTTTTTTCCTCATCTGCAGTGTGTGGAGTCGGCGCCGGCAGCGGGGACTTTGGCTGTGGCGATTTTGGGCGCGGTGATTTGGATTTTGGACGAGGACTTTTTTGACGCGCTTTCTTCTCAGTCGGCGGAAGAGTCGTCTCGCTCTTACGTTTTGCACCAGCAGCTGCAACAACAAGCGTTACCCGATGGCCATTATAATATAGCTCAAAATACCTCCAGCCTTCTGCCGCCTCGGCTATTAAATTTGGAGGAGTTTTAGACTTTCTAATAGCTGCTAACTTCTTCTTTAGAGGAATGAAGAAATGATTCCGAGTAAGACCAGTAGTAAACGCTGCTGTTTGGCAAAACAAAAAAAAA